AGAGGGGGCTGGGGATGATATATGTGATTACTTGAGCACGAAATCTCATCGGGACGGGGAAATGTCCTGGCTGTTATCGGGGCATGTGAGGACCGGTTTGAAGATGCCGGTACTGTACTCGAGTATGATACACTTGTGGAATACTGCTAGTATTGGATCGTGGGATGTGAAATGTTTTCCAATCCGCGTGGAGTTTGAATGGCTGTTGGGTCCTCCATTGTCTGGCGCTGCGGTGCTTGATCAGCAGTAGGCTGCCTTCCCCGCGGTGACTTACTACAAGCCTTGAAGTTATGTTTTGCTCACCACCTTTTACCACATGGTCACCGCTCGTATAGCAGGCACATATATCATATCATACCGCCCCCATCAAAATATTTCATTTAATCTTCATACCCGCCAAAAACCACGCCTCCAGCCCGCTTCCTCCAACCATTTTCAACCTCTCCGCAATATCGCCGAGCCCTTCCACCTCCTCTACTCCGGCCTCGAGCGGCAACACTCGCTGTCCAGAGGGGACGGGGTACTCATCTCGGACTTGTATTGCTTGCCATTTTAATCTCTTCGGCTCGGTATCGGTGGTTAGCCTGATAACTTTAGGATTAGCCAAGCTGGCGGGAGAGGAACCTTGAGCTGAGAAGTGTACTCTTCCACACTTTCCTTCTCCCCCTCGATAAATAGCGCTCCGGGGTATCCGGGTCTTGAGTATCCCGATAATCGTAATGGCCTGGCCCAGGTCACAATATTCTTCCGCTTCTGTGTGGAGAGTAGGTGGTGGAACCACAGTAGAGCGTGGACAATTACTGGAGTGTCGTTTATGTCCTGGATGGCATCTTCTGTGACAATGTTCTCTCCTTTAGGAGGGGAGGTGAAGATATCCATGACCCCTGTTAGGAGCATGTCAATGCATTCCTGCCCTAGAAGGAAACGTGTTGGCTCGGGTATGACGGTACCATGACCTACTAGGAGGGTTGGAGCAGGGTACCTTGCGGAAGGGAGTTGACCGCCTCATTCACTTTCCGCCTTAACTGGCTCCTCACAGCGTTGGGTATTTTCTCGCCGCATCGGAGGAATACTTCTGGTGGGGAGGTGGACGGGTACGTTTCTGGGAGCGAGAAATGAAGGGCACAGGAGGCTTTCTCGTGGAGTTTGTATATTAGCATGATAACACGAATGACACTTTATAATAGCTTCATAGACCAATCGTACCGCCAGGAATTTCGATATAGAATTGTGGATCTTTTTCTGGCTGCACTCACGTTAGCCCTCTCTCTCTCTCCTTACAGCTACGCCCTCCGGAATCCTACCAGCTCCGCATCCGGCTCGCTCTCCCAATGGAATTCGGAAGGGAACATGCTCGATATGAGCACCAATTCGTCCGCCTGTCGTTGGCGATTATCGTTGCCGTCGTTGTCGGACATGGTGCCGTATGATATAGTACGGTAAGGTGCGGAAGTCTGGGCATCGAGGGTAAGACAAACCTTAAGTTAAGGTTATCCCGCCCCCGTCGGACCGTTTTCTACAGGTTACCGACAAGAAGAACCTGAACACAGGGATTAAAAATTTGTACGGCAAAATGTCTGCGCGTATCTGAGCGCCCATACTAAATTCAGACACAAATGTTCAAGTTCTACTTGCCTGTAACTTGTACATTAGCGAAAGGGGCTAAAAGTGACGCCACGGGGCTAATAATCATGATTTGTCACTTGGCTTATGGCAAAACGTATGGGAGTTTTTAAGGTGTTGTCGTAAACGGTAGTCCCCCTCTAGCATTGCAACAAATCTAGCCGGGTGAAAGAAGAAACCCCCCCCCCGGAGAAGGAGGCTCTTTAGGGCATTCGAGCTTGGCGGAAGATGCCTGTGTGGGGGTTCTGTTGTTTTTGCTGGGCGGTATCATATGATAAGTAAAGGTAGACTATATCAAGAATTTCCTCCTAGGAACCTGCCAAGATACCAGTAAAGTTAGGCCTCGCTGGGTTGGAGGTATGGTACTTTGCAGCGGGTCTCATCTATGATACTATACCTTAAGCATTCACCACACTGGATATATGCGGCATAATTTTTGAGAAACCAGATAAACTTATAGCGTTCTTGTGTACTTGCCTAAAAATAATTCACTGGAGTCAAGACCAGAGTTCGAAACATTCCAAAGACCTCAGTTTAGCTTGTTATTGTCTGCTTTGTCGCATCAGTTCCGTTCCTGCGTTGGACACTTGTATCACCCGGAGCTCGTGGGAATCAGGTGCTAGGGATGGCGGGGCTGGTCAGCGGTGTGGTACCGGTATTATGATGAAAAAAATGATATTGATCGACGTGGGGTCCTTCCCGCATGTAATTTAATGCTGGTGCGGGTACAGTTCTGTACCCTAGGATGTGATGTGCTTGTCATGCGCCCCCGGTCATACCACGCATTTAACGGGGGGAAAGAAGGAAAAAAGAAAAGAAAATTTCAGTTATATCATGGTCTTGGCTCAAAACCTGCGATCTCTTGCACCTGGACATGACGACTCATTAGAAATCGGACGTGAACGCAAGCCCCTTGGGAACAGGGAACAGCGCGGGGGCATGGCGGCTGACAGAAGCACTCTTGATATATAATACCTGCAACCTCTACCGATAGCTAGATGAGGAACAAACATAACAGCTATGAGTGATATTCGCATGGTTATTCCTACTGTGATATCCCAGTGAATTTTGGCCCCCATATCCCCAGCAGTTTTTTTCTCAATACTGCCTCCACAAATAATGACTCGTGGGTGTGCCGGGGTTTTCCAGGTTACCGGTATATTGCCGACTGGGGGGATGGCCACTGCGGGACTACTGCAGAATATCCCACGGGATTCTATAGTTCCTGCATGCGGGTTGGAGGAATTGTAGAGGTCATCCCTCATGGCACAAGATAAGACTGTGCATGTGTGGTATAATATGGCTTAGCGCGTTAGGGCCCGTTCTCATTATCCTGGTGCAATCAGTGCTTCGAGAACGGTGGAATCTACTAGAGAACATGGGGTGGTGTGGTGTGGGGTCCGCTTCTGCTCAAGTTGACTTTGCGAAGGGGGGGGGGAATTGCAAACACTTGTTGTGGTGGGTATCTGTATATCGCTATACGTGGTGGAGCAGTGTAGGAGAAGGATGTAACTTAGTTCAGTTTTCCAGGTGCAAACCTGCTAGCTAAGTACAAACAGTAACTATCATGCACACCATGATCTAACCCTATATCCATCAGAACACATCCCACAACTAGGTCATTGCCTGTACATAGTAAATACTACTCAACACTCCCCCTACAGGCATTACCATCCAAGTTCCCCATTATCTAAATAAAAGTGAAAAAGTAAACAGAAATGTAAAAGGTAAACATGAGAACCAAACAGGACTAGACTAGACCACACATTCGAACAAACTCAACATGTTTCACCTGTACAAGCGGTTTTGTCAATCCGTCTGCGATCATATCCCCAGTTCCAACGTACTCCATAGTAACCTCCTTTCCGTCTTCAATAAGTTCTCTAATCTGACAAACGCGTACTCCAATATGCTTGCTTTGAGGTTTATACATTGTGTCTTTGAATGTAGAGAGTGATGCTTGATTATCGTTGAATAGTGTACTGACCGGAAGCTTGCTTCCCATGATTTCTGCAACCAATCGTCGAAACCAAATTAGCTCTTGTATAGCGGATGCGCTTGCGATGAACTCAGCGTCAGCTGTACTGGTAGCGGTCATAGATTGTCTTTTTGAGTGCCACTGAATTATACCGAAGCCAAGAAGAAGCACATATCCAGATGTGGATTTGAATGAGCCAAGGTCTCCTGCAAAGTCTGAATCAACATAGCCTTTGAGAGACAGCTCACGATCCATTTCTCCCCCCTGACTGAGCATGAGTCTGAGTTGCTTTGTTTTTACCAAGTAGCGTAGAACCCGTTTAGCACACATCTAATGGCGTTCAGTTGGTTCAGCATTAAATCTCCCTAGATACGAGACCGTAAAGGGGATGTCAGGTCTCGTCCCAGTCGCGATCCATCCCAGGCTGCCAATCAATTGTAGATAGAGACTTTTATCACAGAGGGTATCACCTTCGCACCACGATCTAGGCTTCTCCCTCTCCATAGGTGTGCGAACCAGTTTGCTTTCAGCTATACCGAACCGTTCCAGCACCCTCTCAATATAACCTTCCTGCGTCAGGTAAATTGATTGTGTTTTTGCTTCCCTAGTTACTACCATCCCCAGGAAGTGACTGATGGGCCCAAGATCAACCGTCTCGAACCGTTCTCTTAGCTTCTCACAAACAGAGACCACATTCACTGTAGTTCCTGCGATAAGCATATCATCCACATATAGTGCTAGTACTGTGCTGTCTTCATGTGTGTAGATACAGGAGTCAAATCTCCCCCGACGGAAGCCTAATTTCTCAAGAAGAAAAGAGTCGATAGTAGTATACCAACAGCAGGGCGATTGCTTGAGTCCGTAAAGACTTCGATTAAGGCATGCTAGTCGTGCCCCAAATACACTATCTGGCAAGGAGACATAGACTTCTTCCTTGAGTACGCTTCCCAAGAACGCAGTAACAACATCCATTTGTCGAATAGCAAACCCTTTCTTGGCTGCAATCGATAGGACAATTCTTACACTAGCGAGGCTTGCCATGGGTGCGAACGTATCAGTGAAGTCGAGACCTTCCACTTGACGGAATCCCTGAGCTACCAGTCTTGCCTTGAACCGGACCATTTTGCCAGACGGGTTGAGTTTGCGTTGCAAGATTAGCTTTGTCGGAATTGCTTTCTTGTCCTCTGGGATCTCCTCAATCACTTCCAGCACCTTGTTCTTTTCCAAAGAGGCGTACTCGGAGTCTATGGTCTTTTGCCACTCATTTGCATTTCCAGATTCCATCGCCGCTTTGTAACTCTGCGGGCCAGCTTCCACCATATAAACTACCAATGTCATTGCACTACTTGAGCCAGCAGAAGAAGACTGCTTTGCACTACGGGAGTGATGGCTCATTCCTTCGATTGATGGAATCTCGCCTTTCTTTGCATCCCAGAAGGCACTCTCTCCATCGGATTCCAATTCTCGCAGCATTCGCATTCTTTTGTCAATTTTTCTTGCTATCAGTGCAGGTTCCGACTCCACCAGATCTGCATCCTCTTCTTCACTACCCGACGTAAGTATCTCTTTGACTTCATTGGATACCATGCAGTCATCATCCTCATCGAACTCATCACCCCAAGCCAATCGCTCCTCCCAAGGCTTGATCGCTGGAGCATAGTAGCGTACAGGGGTCTTACCTTCAGTCATGGGAAAGCTGAAATAAGAAGTAGATTCCACAAACTGGACATCACGGGAGATGATAAAGCGTTTCCGTTTTGGGTCGTAAAGGCGATAGTGGGAGTTGGTTTCCGCATAGCCGATAAACATATATTTCTTTGCTATTTTGTCAAGTTTCTTTCTTGTTTCCTTGGGGACCTACGCAAAGCAGACGCAGCCCCAGACCCGGAGATGCTCGTAATCTGGCTTTCTTTTGCACCACAGTTCAAATGGTGTACTCCCTGAACGAATCACACAGATTGGTAGACGGTTGCGAATATAGATAGCTGTCATTGCTGCCTCAGCCCAGTACTCTTTGAGTGCGTTAACTGCATGAAGTAAGGCTCTGGTTGTTCCTATCACCGTACCGTTCGCCCGCTCACTCACACCATTGGACTGTGGAGTGTATGGAGTAGTTCTTTGCATCTCAATTCCTTCCTGCTGAAGTAAATGACAGAACTTGTTTGAGGTGTATTCGCCACCTCCATCGGTACATAGTTTATGAATTGGTACTCCTTGTTGCTTCTCGACAAGTGCTTTATATCCCTTAAAGCAGGCGAAAGCTTTGGACTTCTTCTTCAGAAGATAACCTATCTTGTATCTCGTAAAATCATCCGTAAACATTAGCAAATACGTAGATCCCCCCAGAGACTTGGGATCAACCAGTCCAGTAATATCACTATGGACCAATTCCAGGGGCTGTGTTGCTCGTGACATTGCAGGGACAAGAGGAAAAAGTTTGTGAGTTATTTTTCCATATACGCAACCAGCACAAACACAACGAGCTACACGGCGAAGCTTAGGAATTCCGTTTTCTTCCATAGAAAGACATCTAATCGCATCTGTTCCGAGATGACCCAATCTAAAGTGCCACAGCGCTGCTTCTTTTACTACTTTCTCATCATTTGTTGATGGCTCCACTTCACTCATCAAAACAGTATCAGAACCTACACTACGCTGACAGGTCTGCAGTACGTAGAGCCCACCTCTCTCAACTACCTCAATGTGACTACCATCACCCTTTGATAGGACTGTTCCTCCCCCCAGAAGAAATTTCGTGAAAACTCCACACAACTTCAGCTGAGAGACTGAGAGCAGACTATTCTTGTTGCAGGCTGGAACGTGCAATACACTGGTGATAATGAAGGCTGTTTGTAGCTTCTTAGTACTATCCCAAACCAAAAGTTTAACGTCTCCCCGTCCTAATGCATCAATTTTCATGTTGTTTGCTACTCGAATTCGATGTTCACCCTCAGGAATTGGAGTATAGTTGATGAAATCCTCCCTTGCACCGGTGATGTGGGTGCTACAACCACTGTCAAGAAGCCACTGCTGGGCGCTTACAGAGAATGTGGAGGAACTGTAGACTGTAAAGAGGGAATTGCTGGATTGGTTGGCCGGTACGACCTGTACGGCAGTAGAAACTTTACCATGACGGTTGCCTTTTGCTGTATCAGACTTGAGCTTTCGATATTCGCTCTGTCGATGCCCCTTTTTCTGGCAATAGTAGCAAGTGTAACGGGGGCTCCCTCAGGTAGATGGCTCCTAAGGATGCAACCGCACCAAACTTCGAATCTCTCGAACACAGCTCTTGCAAAAGTGTAAAGAATAAAAGTAAACGGTAAAACTTAATATCGTTAAGCTCAGGCTTATCTCAATTAAAGTCTCTCGAGAGGATCTTGATTGTGTCGGGGTAGGAGAGTTCTCGTATAATCTTTAAGTAGTCAGACTTATACCAAAAACTCCCCTATCAGGTTACCCCGACCAACATGAGTATGCCCTTCTCCGTAAGGGTTGCCCCGGCACCATTACCGTGTCCCCGAAGGGCCATAGATGTCAGCGCACTCTAGCAGAATTCTCCTTTATGCACATCAGTTCCTGCAAGGTGTTTACCAATACACCTGCCGGAGTGAAAATCTCTGTACATCGGTGTCTCGTCAGTGGCTAACTATCGAG